TCCTCCCTTAAGTCTGTTGAGTTTCTATCTGTTGCCTTGAGATGAAACTCCTTCACTGTGGCCTGTCCCTTGTCTGTGAGGAATGAAGGCTGTTTGGTAACTCGGTCAGTTAAAGTCTGTGGGGCTACAGACATTCTTTTTCACTCTCAGTGCACTTATGACATAATACTTATTCCTTGAATAACATTTTCCTCTTCTTCCTTTAAAAAATTTTAATTTATTTTATTGTATGGGTGTATAAATATATTTTATATATTTGTGTGCATGTCAAAAGAGCATCTGACTCTCTAGAACTGAATTTACAGATGATGGTTGGGAGTGTTGATGTGGTGCTGGGAATAGAACCCAAGTCCTCTGGAAGACTTCCAAGTCCTCTGAGTGATTTTTCCAAACCCCATCACTTCCTTTTCTGCTACAATCTAGTTTTTCCTTCCTGCTATGAAATCGGTGAAATACCTGACCATAAGTCATTCAGCTTCTCTCGTTCCTTCTATGAAAAATGTTAAAATAAAAAAAGAAATTTTAAATGTCTTCTCTGTCTCACTCTTTAGGGTCAAGAGTTATCAACTCAAAGCTAATCATTTCATCTTTCCTATGTATTCTTTCCTATATGCCTTCCTGTTGCTAGTGAAATAAATCTATGATAAATTATCAACTCATCTGTTGAAATGCAATAGATCTCCAAGTAACATACTTTTAAAGCCTAACAATATATATCTAATATTACACTTAAATATTGAAAAGTATGACTATCAAATATCTTCAAGCTTTCAATTGTCCTTTATCCATGTTTGTTTGTTGGCTTGAATCAGGATGAAAGCAGCATCCATACTTCCAAACCTTCTGTAAAATTTCTCTCTCTCCCTTTCCCTTTCCTCCCATCTCTGTCTGGTGTGCATGAGTATGTGTGGGTCTGTGTGTAGGTGGAGGAATGAGGCTGATTTTTGATGTCTTTCTTCCATTGCTCGCACTTTTAGTTTTTGAGGCAGGGTCTCTCATTGGACATGAAACTCAAGGATTCTGCTAGGCTGGTTGGCCAGCAAGCTTTAGGGATCTGCCTATCTTTTCAGAAAGGATATGCTTCTTAATTTGATATCTTTCTGTTCTACTTGTTAAATCTTAAGAAGTTTTGCTCTTTCTTTAGATCAGGTTGGCCACTTTATGTTAGATCACCCAGGATCTTTATGTCTAATTTGTCCATCTCCAGATGCTCTGGATTGTATTTTGGGGGCATGGAACATGGGCTTGAGATGAAAAAACAACAGAAAGGGATTTAATTCTAGGAGAGTCTTGTGCTTTAAACATCTTTCGGGTCCGTAGTAATGCAAACCTTTAATTCCAGCACTCTAGAGGCAGAGGCAGGTGGATCTTTGAGTTCGAGGCCAGGCTGATATATAGAATGAGTTCTGGGATAGCCAGGGCTACTCAGAAAAACCTAATCTAAACAAACAAACAAACAAATGAACATCTCAGTTTTCATTATGATTGCAGTGCTTATGGTGTTCCAAGTTATGATTACTTTTTTGTTGTTGTTTTGTTTTGTTTTTCGAGACAGGGTTTCTCTGTATTGCTTTGGAGCCTGTCCTGGAACTAACTCTTTAGACCAGGCTGGCCTCGAACTCACAGAAATTCACCTGCCTATGCCTCCCAAGTTCTGGGTCTAAAGGTATGTGTCACCAATGCCCAGCGAAGCTATGGTTACTATTCTGTGAATGTATATGTAAGCTGTGGCCTTACATATCATATTATGATATGACGTTACATGATTCAGAAGACAGAATGCCTAAAGTGAAATGTATTATATTCATCTGTTTTTAGAAGCAAATGTCATTGTTTTATAGTAACCATTTTATGGTACAATGTTCATGATTTGTAAGCAGAAGGAGTCTTTGTGACTGTCACACCACCAGGTTTATTATGAGAAGCTCATAAATGATTGCCCCTTGCTAGTTAATAGCAGGTTGGCCTTCAGAGCAGCCAACCCCTGAAAGCATTAATGTGGATATTCTATTCCCAATAACGAGCCCTCGAAAGTGATCATAGGATGTGGCTCTGCATTCTAACTATTTTCTCCTTTCACTTTTGTTAACCTCAGTGTTCAGACTTTAAAAGGGCAAAGAATGAGAGCTGTTTGATAGGAATGAAAAACAAACAAACAAACAAACAAACAAAAACGGGCAAGGGGAAGAGCTCAAAATTGTTTTAGCTTATTTAGCATCTACACTTTGAGTCTTCAAGTATAAATGCAGGTTTCCAAGGATACACACACACACACACACATACGTCATTTTATGGGAATGCTTTAGAGCATGATGCTGCATACTTGACATATATAAATATGATAACAAACTCTATCCATATTCCCAACTATCTTTTTTTTTTTTTTTTTTTCATTAAAAACAAGTTGAGCAGTAGCGGTATCAGCCTTAATCCTAGAACTCGATAGGCAGACAGATCCTTGTGAGTCCAAGGCTAGCCTGGTCTATAGAGAGCGTTTCAGGGGAGGGGGGGAAATCATTTTAGTTAGTCTTGATGGCACATGCCTTTAATCCCAGCACTTGAGAGGCAGATCTCTGTGACTTCAAAGCCAACCTGGTCTACGCGTGCTCGTGCATACATACACAGAGTTCAGGACAGCCAGGACTACACAGAGAAACCCTGTCTTGAAAAACCAAAAAAAAACGAACAAGCTGTTTTCCCTTTCTCTCCTCAGCGATGTGCGTCCTCTCGTCTCGAGCAATGCCAATATTGTGTTGTTAAAGAAAAAATTTTCCTCACTATATAATGCCTTTTTGGTATTGATAGACTTCTTTGGTTTTATATTTGTGATACTCATATGAATCTCACCTTGCCTTTTCTAGGAGGATTGCTGTACACCAACTCAAGTACCACCCCAAACTGACAGGTTCTTAATAAAAGGGTAGAGGGAAACCTTCATGGCGACAGGTCAACGTGTTCAAAAGCATAGCCTATGAGAACGAGAAACACGTCAAGCCTTTCAAGTCATTTTAAGAAAAACCCATGCGCCAGGCGTACCTAAAACCAAAACCAACCAACCAAACTACGATACACAGTTGAAGCCAAAATTCTCGTGGTTTCGCTCTTCAACCTTTTCCCATATCCCTCCGCCGAGTGCGTTTCGATGGCAGCCACTGCCACGTGCTCCAGGCCTACTTTTGAATGCAAGGTACGTGTGTGCCGGGTGTGATGAGTGAGAGGGACGCGAGGAGCCGTGTGCGAACCGTGGAGGGCTCTGGCGTGACATGGGGGCGGAGGGGGGGACGGATTCTTTTGTTGGGGGCAAGGATTCCATCTTTGAGCCCGCCGTGCGTGGCCGGGGCTGCTTCTCTGCGAGGGCTTCCTCCGGGGCCTGGGCTGAGGAGGCCTGGCGCGTGGTGAGAGGAGACCATCGCTCGGCAGCCCGTGAGCCGGCCTGGGGGCTCGGGGGGCTCGGGGTTGGCTTCCCGCACCGACCAAGGCTTGCCCGAGGCTGCAGGACCCGAGTAAGTCGCGGGCAGACGCCCTTGGCTCGGACGGGGCCGGCTCAAAGCCCTGTGTTGAGGCCACTTCCCGTCAGCCAAGGCTTTGCCAAGGGCAGCCGGCTCCTGCTTCCGGCGTCGGCCTGGAAGGGGGCGCAGAGGGGCCGTTTCCCGCCCTCCCGCCCGCAGCGGGCAGCAGAGCGGAGTCGAGGGGGCAGCACCCCGGGAGGCGCCTCCCGGAGAGGGCGCCGGGCGCCATGGCCTACTCGCGTGCGTGCGGCCGAGGCGCGGGCCCTTCCGGCCGCCGTTCTCTTCCGCTCGCCTCAGGTGCAGCGCGGATCCCTCCGCCGCAGCGTGCGCGGCGCTCGGCTTTCCGGCAATACCCGGATGGACGGGTAATGGCCGCCATCTGGGACTCGCGGGCAATGGGGACCACGGCAGGTATTCCCTGTGTGCGGAGCCGCCAAGACCGGCTAGGACGTCGGCACGCGCGGAAGGACGGCAGGGGGCAAAGGGCGCACTTGAGGGTTCTCAGGGCCCCCCAGGAGGTCTAGGGAGCCGCCTCTTGCGATAGGAGCTCATGTTAAATAGTCCCGTCCATTCAGCGCTTCCGGCCAACTTGCGGCAAAGTTTTTGTAGAGAAGCCAGTGGTGTTTGACCCAGGGCCCTTGCCAGCTGCCAGAGCGGGTCACGGGCGGCTCAGCCCGGGCTTGCTGTAAGTTGGTTTGTGTGAACTCGGCACGCCGTCCTGGCCTGGGGCGCGGGCGCGCCGCCGCCGTACACCTCCGCGCGCCCGAGGGGCAGCGGAACTCGGGGAAAAGGGGCGGATCGGGCGCGGGGTTTGGGGGGCGACACGGGGCGCTGGGCGTGCGAAGCCATCCCTGCTCGGCTTCCGCGGCGGCCGGCCACGGGACCGACAGCCCTGAGCCCGCGCCCCCGAGCTGTAGGTTCGCTGGCCCGCCTCGACGGCATCCTTCCTGCGGGCCCAGCCTATGGCTCTTGGGGGCCGAGCCTTGCGTAGGCTCCCGGCTCCCTGGCGCACGCCCCCCGCGCCCTCTTTAGAGTTGGGCAAAAAAAAAGTGATCCTCTTTGTAGACCACCCCCCCCCAACCACAACCACACCCAGTGGCAGATGGGTTTCTGTGTAACTGGCTTTTTTTTTTTTTTTTTTCTTTTTTTTTTTAAACTTGTAGGGTCCATCTTGAATCTGATCTTCATGGTGTCCTCTTTGTTAAGTGTGTAGTCTCTGAGTAGATAGATGGCTTTGGTAATTCAAAGTGTGCGGGCTGAATAAGGTGATGTGCTTTAACTCTTAACCTAGACCAGTGGGGCAGATGGAGCTTCGAAGTTTAGAAAACAAAAGTTAAGGGTTAGTTTTCTCTTTAGGTTGAAGTTTGGGTCATTTAGTGTTTGTGAATTGTTTTTACAAAAGTCTTGAAGATGGGGGGGGGGGAGTCAAATTTTAAGGGATTCATGGGAATGTTGAATTGTCTGATTACCTCAGGGATGCAGCGTGAAAGTAACTCACATCGTGGTAGGAGTGTCATTGATTTGAAAGTCTGTTTTTTAGGCACTCTTTATTAATACTAATTCAGTTGCTCTTTTTCCAGCAAAACAGATCTGATTTGAGGGTGCTCTAGTACGGTCAGAGTGAATACAGAGCGTTTAAGGTGATTCGCTAAAATTCCCTACATTTTAAAAGTTATACCTGCAACTCTGTGCAAAATGGGTTTATTGTCCTTCAGCAAAGCTGTATTTGAAAGATTCATAAAAGTCAGCTCATGTTAGCACTTGGGGTATTAGCATTCTATGGGGTCGGCAATCACATAGACATTACTGGGGCTTTTTGCTGAATTGTTTGTTACTACCAGTTCAAAACATGAGTCTGATGTTTGAAAGGGTAAAAGGAGAGCAATTACAATGGGTACTGTGTGAGCTCATAGTATATAAACTTTTAACCCGCGGATTTTATCATTGCATACTGGGAATAGTATATACTATGATTCCAAAAGCTTATGTATTTTGAAATATTATGGAGAAAATTTTTAATCTAAATACAGTATGATTTCAAAAATGCCTTGCAGTGTCTTTTTAATGTCCTTTTATTTCTACTTTTTGCAGTTGTTTGGGATAGTTCTTACTGAAGCATTGTGCCCTGTAGAGCACTTAATATGACCAGTCTTCCTACTTTCCTTTTTTTTTAATGCAAAATTTGAATCTTGCATTTCGTCAGATACTCTACTAAAAAGTTTTTTTTAGTTTTTTTTTTTTTTTTTTTTTGTCTGCTCTCACCTGTAGACTATGAATTTATTCTTACTGGCTTCACATGGTGAACAATTTTCATGGGATGTTAGATACCAGCACTGAGCATCATCAGGATGCTTTTGTAGTGGTCATGTAAGTGGTTCAGAGTTGGATGCAATACTGGTTCTGCTTTTGTGATTTGGGTGGGGCAAGGCTAGTCTTCTTTTTATTGTATTAAGTGATGTTAATGTATTAGATTCTTATACTTTGAGTTGTGACTTTTGTATTATATAAGTTGGGACATGTTATCACTGGGGTGTCAGTGAGATGCTTCTGCCTAAGTAGTGAAGATCTTAAAAACAAATATATGCCTAAGTTAAATACGAACTATAATTGACAAAAGACATTTTACTTTTGCAGTCAAAATTCTAAAATAATGGTTTTTCATTTCCAGATATCATCTCTTTTGATCGTTGTACCTGATTATGGCATTATCCAAGCATTAAGTTGTATGCCTTTGTTCCTGGGAGAAAGGTATGGTAAGGATTGGAGTGATAGAACAGATAGTCTGTTAAGTAGTAAGTTCACATGTTTTAATACTGAGTTAAATAAATTAAATAAACTGAATAGTTACATGTATGTGAATGTTCTAAATTGCTTTAGTGTTTTATTTTTAGCCAAAATTGAAGAAAAGGTACTGTAGAATTACTAAAGAATTATGACTGGTTTCCTGAGATAAACATCTGAATGTCCTGATGTATACAAAAAGAAAGGCAAAAACTGCCAACAGATTGTAAGGAGAGCTATAAATAGTAGTGGAAAATACTGTGCCCTTGTACAAAACCATGGTTCAATCTATCCTTGACACGGAGAGACCTGCCACTTCTTTGCGTTAGTTAGGTCCTGTTATCTTCATTCTCCTCTCCAAAAGCAATAAGTATATACTAAAATAGCCAAAGTTGATTATACTATTTTACATTATTTGGTAATCATAACCATGTTCTTTCAATAACTTTACCAATAGATTGCATTCTTTTTAGGGCCTTTTTTTCCCCACAAGGGCATAAATTTATATGTATTTAGAAATTAATGTCTGACACCTATGTTGAGTAGAACAACAAAGTTGAGTTGAGATACCAAGTTATCATTTATGTTACTTCCTTGAGTAACTTCTTTTTATATAAAATGTTTGACACTTTGCCAGATTTCCATGGCACTTTCTTCCTTATTAAAATAATGATGAATGTAGAGAACTTTCAAAACCATGTTTGATGAAAGAGTGATATGAACAGTGAAAGCATTGCATGAAGTGAAGCAAATAAGAAATTGCAGCATGATTATATACTAAAATAATTTAGATTACTAGATGTTGTAGAATTGATGCTATGATTGGTACTGATTCTTGAGTATCAGAAAAAAATAGATTGTATGTGAGTTTGAAACCTGAGGCTTCACAGGGGTCTTGTTTCAAAAAGTAATAATAGATAAAAGTAAGTATTAGCTGTATAGACAGTTATTAATGCCATTTTGTTGAGTTAAATATAAATTATCCATTGTGGGTAAAAGCCTTGTTATGTCTATCTTGAAAATTAAAAAAACAAACAAACAAACAAAAATATTGGGCTAAGGCTATAGCTCTGTAGTATTTGCCTAGCATGTATCAGGCTTTACATTCAATTTGCAGGCTCTTAGTAAACAAATGGTCATAACTAACTTGGAATGCTATTCTGCTTCTTTAATATAACTTTTTTTGTTTTTTTGTTTTCCTTCATCCTTTTTGGGAGACCCCCTTAGTAACAGACAAAAACTGTACTTCTTTTAGGGATAAAAGCAGTCAAAGTGATGTGACAGATAACAAAACAGTTTGGTAGTCAGGATAAGGAATAAAATTTAAGTAATAGTTGATTACTCATAGAATTCATCTCCTTAAGGGCATGCTGGGACACTCCTTTAATCTCAGCAACTCAGATGGCAGAGTCAGGAGATTCTCTGTGAGGTTCAAGGCCAGCCTGGTCTATATAGTGAGTTTCCAGGTAGCCAGGGCCACACAGTGAGTACCTGTCTGGTAATAGCAAGGACATAAAAGTGTCATTTGCTTGTTAGATGCTGGTGTCGTCTGTGATCATGTCTTCTACCCTCATAGTTTAAGATTGTTACAGTTTAAGTGTATTTGGGTTTGCAAACTTTTCTTATAAACAAACCATAAATATCCTTAACTTTGTGGATCATATGGCTTCTGTTACGGATATCAGATGTTATTGTAATATGAAAAATAGTCATAGATAACATATAGGTGAACAAATGTGGCTTGGTTTTAGTGAAATTTATGAAACAAGATGTTGACCAAGTTTGGCCCATAGTTTGTAGTTTGCCATCTTCTGTGGTGATAACTTGATGAGTCATTTTGTTCCACAAGCTTTCACAGCATCTGTGTCAAACCCTGCAGTTACTATGGATGAACTGTTTGTTGTTTTCTAAGTATGGTTCTGATTTACTCTAAACTCTGTCCTTTCTGATCAACTGAGGGCATTGCTATTACATTCTTTTCTTCTATTTTCAGCTTAAAAAAATTTTACCAGGTCATTTTCATAAGTACTCATTCATACTATAATTTTGCTTATTTAAACACACACACACCACCTAGGTTCTACCTATAAATCTATCTTTTGTGATAAACTCCCTGAAAGAGTTGTCTACAGGGCAGTTTTGCTCCTATTTTTCTCTCAAATCTATACTATTCTGCCTGCTCTATTAACTCCTCCAAAACTATCCTAGCCATTGTTCCTGTTGATTGTGACCTTAAAACCAGGGGTAATTTCTGTCTTAATTCACGTAATAGAATTGATTTATCCCATTTTCTTCACCTTGCTTTTAGAATACCACATTCTCATTTAGCTTTAGTCTCAGTGGATGCTCCTTTTCTTCCTCACTATTCTTTATCTTTTCCTCCTAAAAAATGTCATTTTCATTTCTTTCTCCAAGATAGGATTTCTCTGTGTAGTCCTGGCTGTCCTGGAACCCATTGTGTGGACCGGGCTGGCCTCAGACTCACAGAGATCCACCTGCCTCTGCCTCCACCGCCTAGCAATACTGTTAAACCTTGAAGCTTTAGGCTTTGAACTTTTCTATTTACTTATGCTTTGGTGATTTAATTGTGTCCCAAATACATAAATACAAACACGGTTATATCCTGGTGACAACTGAAATTTTATCTTTTAACTAGAACTCTGTATATTTCATGCAGTACTTACACAATTCCACTTGAATGTCAAAGAGGTATGTCTTGAATTGTGCATGGGTGTACTGCTTTTTAAAAAAAAACCCTCAGTAAATGTTTGTCATACTTTTTAATTATATTATAATACTTATGGCTTACTGTAGAACATAGTTCTTCTAATTATTGGATTTGGAAGTTTTAGTTGTTTTTGGTAGATGATCTCTTTATGTCAGAGAAATAGGTACTTTCGTCAAAATTAAATCAGAACCCGACCATGCCTTCTAGATTCTGCTATGTCACTATCATCTTGTACAAGATAATTATAATACCCTTTAATTGGTCTCTTAATAACTTCCATATCCCATGTATACATACATATGTATGTATATACATACATATATACATACATACCCAGATGGTCTCTTAAAAGTATTTCACAGGCTGAGGAATGTAGGTTACTTGAAGTATACTTGCCTAGAATGTCCAAGGCACTTTTAGGGAAAAAACAAAAATGACAATTCAGATCATGTCCCATCTCTGCTGAAGTGACTTCCTGTCTCATTCAGAATAAAACCAAATTGCTTATACTTTCAGGCCCTATTTCTATCCCCATATTATATCTTTGATTTTACATTACTTTGTCTTTCATTCTTTCTGATCCAGTAATACTGATATATCCAGATATGTTAGGCATGCTACACACTCAGGAATTTGGCACTTAATATTTCTTTACATAGAATACTAGCTCTCTCAACTTCCCTTTCTTTCTATTAATTATTACTAAGAGGCAGAGTTGTACTGTGTATCACTGGCTGGCCAAGAACTAAGGCTGGCCTCATACTCACAGAGATCCACCTCTCTCTGCTTCCCAAGTCCAGAAACTAAAAGCAAGTGCTACCACCCCTCTGTCCCAGTACCTCTTTTTAACTTAAAACTTCCTTCTTTCTTTTGGCAGTGCTGAGGATCAAACTTAAGCCTTCTAGAGAATGCTAGACAAGCAGTACCCCATAAGAACTTTTGAAGTGAGGTTTCCTGATAGTGTGTTGACAGTGACAACACTGTGGGTCTTCCTTTCCCCACTGTCTTATTTTGCTCCCTGTGAATAGAATAACAGTGTAATTTATTTTCTATACAGTAGAATATTATCTCTACAGGGGGCGGGGCTTTATCTGCCCCCCCCTTCCCTATTGTATTCCTCATACTTAGAGCAAGACTGGCACTGATTTGGTGCTAACTACAAACCCAGCATTATATTGATAGAGCAGGAAAGAATATTATTATAAAGTCCTTATTTAATTCATAGTGTAGACTTAGAAGATAAATTGGCAGGTAGTTAAAATGTTGCCAACACAGTGCCAGGCATTGGTGATGCACACCTTTAATCTCAGCACTTGGGAGGCAGAGCCAGGCAGACCTCTGTGAGTTCGAGGCCAGCCTGGTATACATAGCTAGTTCTAGGACAGTCTCCAAAAAAAAATTGTTGCCAACAATAAGAATTTTTATTTTTTTATTGAGACGGTGTGTGTGTGTTGTGTTTAAGAGAAGACTGTTGAGGGGGTGGGTATTTGAGCTCAACCAGAAGATGAAATGTCTCTTTGAGACAGAACAGTTCAAGCAAGGAGTAACAAATGCAGAAGCAAAGTTAGGAAAGAAATAGCTGAGGAATTAGGAGACCATGGTAGCTTGCTAGAGTATATTTACAGATGGCAAATGTAGTATGAGATGAAAGTGAAGAGAGAAGACAAGGATAAGGTGTGCTTTCCTTTACAAATATTTTTTAATAGCTTTAAATTCTGTGTAAGTATATATGTGTCTGCATGTCAGCACTTGAGTGCTGATGCCCATTCTGGGTAGGAAGTGTCAGGTCTCCTGTAGGTGGACATGCAGGTTGTTGTAAGTCACCTAATATATGTGCTAGGAACCAAACTCAGGTCCTCTAGAAGAGCAGCAAGTACTCTTAGCTAATTAACCATTTCTTCAGCCTCAGGTATTGGGTTGGTTTTTGTTTTTTGGGTTTTTTGTTTGTTTGTTTGTTTGTTTTGTTTTTGTTTTTGTTTTTTGCCAGTCTCTTGTAAAAAAGATTGAACTTTAAGGCTGTGGTGCTATAGATTGAATAATCTTAATTATTTTATTAGGATATTATCAAGCTATTGGGGATTGATTAGGTTATGAAGACAAATTCTTCATGAATGAAGTTAGTGTCTTTATTAAAGAGACCCAACCAAAATAAAAAGGAAAGAAGAAAGGAAAAGAAAAACACAAATAATAAGCCAGGCAGTGGTGGTGGACACCTTTTAATCTCAGCACTTGGGAGGCA